AGTAGTCAGTTCAATACCAGGCGACAACAGTGGTGAACCAAAAACTTGGAGAGTTGACTTAAAGGGAAAATAACTGAGATATCCGGAAGAGGCATGGCATGCGGAACTAGAACAATCTACCCGCGTAATAAATGATTCGATTCGAAATTCCGATCTTCTGAAGAGGGTCGGAGCGTATAACAGCCGAAACGTTGCGAATATAGCAATGAAGATTAGGATAACGGTTTGAATAATGTAAATAGTGTAAGTAATCATAATACCTCATCTCAGAGATATAGACAGATAGTGATAATGTTTAATTTGGTTGCGGTTACAACCAGAGACTATCCTTGCAAAGATTGGTATGTTTTAATTAACATAGAGAATTATTTTTGCTTTTCATCAGCATGGGTGATGCTAATCTCCATTGCCTCTTCCTGGTCTCACGATTTCCACAGATGTGGAGTGATTATATTGAATCAATTACTATGTTTACTGTGGGGAAAATTGTTATGCCAGACAATTTTTCTCATCGGAATCCATCTTGCAGATTTATAAATCTACATTCGTCCGTGCATTGAATATTGCTGCCATATTTGGTTTGAACCTGCTGCTATATATCTCGAGATTCTTGACAAAATTCAAAGGAGGATCTTTAATGCTATCGGTCCTGATCTGGCATCTTGATTTCAGTCACATTCCCACAGCCGTGATGTGACTTCCCTCTGTTTTTTTTTTCTATAAATATTTCCGTTGCAGTTGTTCTAATGAGCTCTTCTCCTTGCAAATACACATTGGAGATTAGATTTGAAATTGTTGTCATATTCACACACACACACGCACGCGCGCGCGCACACACACACACACACACACACACACACATACAGAAACAAGAATTGTACATGTGGGGCCTAGTTATGACTTTCATGGAGATTCTATATTATTGTGGATGTAGTAAGAATGGTAAGTCAGAATGTGTTGTTTTGGTGTAAGGAATATTGTGGTATGTTTGGGTAAGTGTTTGTAGCTAGCTAAGTTTAATTATAAGATAGAAGACCAACCGCTTTTCCCCTTCCCCATTTTAACCTTGTGCCATATTTTGTATTTTTTATACACTTAAATATCGCTCTCCTCCTTGATACTTCGACCGCATGAATATAAGTGTACGACTAGATAGCAACTAAGTATTATATAGGAATAAAGTGTCGCTGCCGACACTTGAGTTTGAACATAAATCGCCAGTGAACAAACACAGGCGATCCCATTATTAAATTAAGTAGACCGACGTGACTATAGAGGAAACGCATATATGTAGGAAATAGCTAACGACTAACTGTCTCTATTTCTATTCTATCGTCTATTACTAATCGGATTACATTTCTACTCTATCCTCTATTACTATTGGACCGCTATTCTCTACTCTATTCACTATATTTTTTCTCTATTCAGATCACTATACGGTGGTTACTATACGAGCGAGTATTATCGAGCAAGTACTATTAGCGCTAGCGTTATTCGAAGGCGTGTGACATCAGCATTGTTCAACGGCGTTACTATAGTTGTATCTGTGATTACAAAGTCTTTACTAGAACGGGCATTACGAAAGTGGCAACGAATATTCGTTGACATCCTAAAAGTAGGTTTCATCGTTTTACTGTTGAACCAGGTAGATATAACCGTAAGTTCTATTCTAATATTTTTCTGTCGCACTTCTCGCCTGTTGAACTCTTTTCCTGTTTCTTCCTTCCTTGCCACTTACGATCTTCAAAAAATTAAATTCAACACCAATCGACATCTTCTGTTTTCCGTCTTTTAATGTACTTTCTTCCCAGTGAAATTGTCTCATTCTCTTTTACTTTCATTAACCCACCCCCTTGCATCTTAGTGGCTTTATCACCTTGTTTGGAAATAAAATGACTAAAATATATATCAATCTTATACAGCATCAAGGATAAGTGGCAGAACAAGTGAAAGCTATCTGCTAACTTATTAAAATTGACGATTTTTTTTTTATCAAAAAATTACTTTTGAACAAAACGTTTGAAAATGTTATTTGATGATACAAGTATTAGAATTATTTCAGAAAATGGCTTTTTCTTTTTGGTATTCAATTACCCAGAATTTTGATTCCTTTTCCAAGGAACTGCTACTTTGTAGACCAGACCCCAGTGGGGTTGCTTCACTGAAAATTACAATTTTAGCATATTCAAATTGAGTATGTAAAAAATAATTTTTTTTACCAAAATTTTCTAAAAACAATTTAAAAAAAAATTGTTTCAGTTGTGAATAAATCCTGAAATTTTCATTAAAATCGGAGAATTATTTGATTTTTACAATAATTTCCAAATCAATGTTTTCAACAGCAAAAGCGCAAAAACGCCAATGTTATTATTATGCCACCGTAATGACGTAAACAAATGAAGAATTTAATTAAAATTTCGAACTTTTTAGGAAGGGCTAAAAAATTAAAAAAAATAATCAAAAAATACTCTGGTCTTTTCTCTTAATAATGACATAATATTTTTGACGATAAAACTTTATTTTTATTAAGTTTGTGGTCTTTTTTTTTTTTATTACGGTATGGTGTTTTCCGTGAAAAAGTGGAGGTACCTAGTTTAATGCATGAAAGTGATTTTTCTTCCCCTGGAATATCTCTACCTTTTAAAATTACACGCTAACGATATATACACAAAGGGTTATAACATATATAGACGGTGGTATAATGAATAGCGGCTCGGATTGAGGAATCGGAGAGCTGAGTTCGAATTCCAGTCGAATCCATTAGATTCACTTACGTGCTAATACCATTGGGAAAGGTATAAACCCTCTTCTTCTCTCCCACACGCCCCAGCTATAGCCTTGGATGGCAACTGGTCTACCGCAGAAAGAAATGGCAACTTACAGGGAAAAATCTGCCTCGTCAGTCATGTATCTAAAGATCGCCTAAGAGTGTATCACGTATGGCGCATTACTGACTGATATATATATATATATATATATATATATATATATATATATGTGTGTGTGTATATATATATATATATATATATATATATATTGATCAAGAAAAATAACAAACTTTTCTTCCAAATAGTTTTTATTTTTCCAAATACTTTTGACCATCATCAGCGAGTTAAAATATCTGTACACAGTTGCTCTGTAAACTCAAAATAAATAAAGTCAGCTATGAGTATAGCCACAACTTTCTTAAACGTTTATAGCAGCATTTTTTTTAATTAAATACTGAAATAAATATTATTATGAAAAAATCTTTTTACTTTTTACAAAAATTAACTGAGAGAAAAATTTTGAATTCGAAACGCTGTAAACGAACAGTGAAAAAATATTTTTAATTTACGGAGTTACTGTATAGATATCCATAGATATTTAAACCCACTGAAGATAGTCTCAGATGAAATTGAAAGTGCTTTGGAAAATAAAATTATTTGAAATAAATTTTTGGTATTTTTCTTGATCAATTTTCTACAGCCACCAAGAAATTAATTGGGGATTTGAAAAAGATTAAAACTAAAATAAATAAATATAATAAGACTAAATTATTTAATCAAACCTACTTGAATGAAAATATACTGCATATATATATATATATATATATATATATATATATATATATATATATATAGTTAAACCTAAAAAAAAAGACAAACCTACCAAGGTTTCTTAATTGGATCGTCAGGAAAGCTTTCCTGACGATCCGCATAGGTGAAACCTTTGGTAGGTTTGTCTGGCTATTAGGTTTAACTAGGTCTGCTCTACTCATTGTATTGAGCACTTTATTTAGTTGTTTCGGGTACTCGCATCGGAGTTTTTTTATTTGGGCCTTGAACTCGTATGCTGGACGATTATTTTCGGTTAACGTACATGTTCTTGGTTCTTTCTTTTTTATATACCTTTTTTTCCTTTTGGTATTGAACTTGTTTATTTGCAAATCAATACACCGAAGGTTTTTCCGAGTTTAGTATAGTTTCTTATACTTATAAGATTTCTATTAATATATATATATATATATATATATATATATATATATATATATATATATATATATATGTGTGTGTGTGTGTGTGTGTGTGTGTGTGTGTGTGTGTGTGTATAATCATTTATTCGAAAATTATAACATAAAAAATATATATTTTTCAAGTATAGTATATCCTGACATTCAACACCAACACCTGATAACGCATCAGAAGTGTTGAAACAAAATGGCTACTTTTTAATAACATCGGATTGAGAAATCGGAGAGCCGAGTTCGAATTCCAGTCGAATCGATTACATTCACTTGGGAAAGGCGTGAATTCTCTTCTTCTCCCTCCAGCTATGGGTAAATAGCATGACAGACTGGGTTCTATAGCCTTGGATGGCAACTGGCCTAGGAGAAAGACAAACCTGAATTCAAAACCTGTTTGTGGACCCTGTGGCATGTAGTCCACCAAGTCTCTATATTCGGCCCTTCAAAAAGTGTGGATGGTTCTGCACAAAACCTTCACGAACTGATCTGCTTGACCCTCATACGTCGAATTCGACGGGAGAATCGAATATATATATATATATATATATATATATATATATATATATATATATATATAATCCTTTGTGCTAATAGTTTCTTCTACCTCACTTTTCGCTTTGTAGGACTTTCTTCTGACTTCCTGCTTTCCTCTTAAATACGATCTTCTAAAATCTATAGGCTAGATATTGTAATCAAAGTCAGCATCGTCCTTCCTAGTGTGGCCATTTTCTTTTCTTTTAGTGTATATGTATTTCTAGGGAAACAGATAAGGATGCCTTTTCATGAGTCATTGTTCGATACCATATGCTTATACGCACACACACACACACACACATATATATGTATCATATATATATATATATATATATATATATATATATGTATGTATGTATATAAAGTATGTCTCCTTAAATAACAGAAAATAATAAATAAAATGTACGAGCAAATAAATTGCAAATAAAAGAAACCTTCAAAAAAGAAAGCAGCGATTTTAATGTCGGAATCTAATAATACGGCAAATTTGTTCAGCAGATTGAACAATATCGATTGGCTGAGTAGTGGTCACGTGACAACATCGGACGTAGCGTCCTCGCCAACGCATATCATGGAATATATGAGATGTGATGGAACATTCCAGTACATTCACGCCTAAATGGCTGTGTCTTTCGCAAATATCTTTCACAGTTGAAGACATTCGTTTCCACATTGTCTGAACATTTTGGCAGATAAAATTCTTTTTGTCCTCGATGAGGAGACTTATGTCCTAAAAAAAAGCAAAAATCATTTTTCTTCGTAAATTCTTTATGCGAAAAATGTCTTTGATCAATTTTCTCTTTCTATATTTCGTTCTCTTTTGTATATAGATCTCTCATATCTATCTATCTATCTATCTATCTATCTATCTATCTATCTATCTATCTATCTATCTCATCAGAAAATGCGTACCTATCTTTATTTGAAGCAAAGGTAGTGTGTATTTCCGCCTAAGAGAACAATTCCGATTTTATGAATTTTGTGGAGATACGTTTTTCAATTTATTGAAATAGCTGGAACTGCTGAGCAGCTTATATTAATTGAAGCAATGTAAGTGATGATCTTATGACGCGTTTATATAAATTGTGTATTTCTTCCCAAGAGAACGATTCCGGTATTTATGAATTCTATGGAGATATTTTTTCCGATACGTTGAAATAACTGGCACTGCTGAGCAGTTTATATTAGTTGAAGTAAATGGCGAACTTATGCAACATTGTGATAAACTGTGTATTCCTTCGTAAGAGAACGATTCCGGTATTTATGAAGTCTGTGTGGATATGTTTTTTGATTTGTTGAAATCGCTGGAACTGCTGAGCAGTTTATATTAGTTGAAGCAATGTAAGCGATGATCTCATACCACGTTTATATAAATTGTGTATTTCCTGCTAAGAGAACGATTCCGGTATTTATGAACTCTGTGGGGATTTTTTCCGATATGTTCAAATCGCTGAAATTTTTATTAGTTGAAGCAAATTAAGTGATGAAATTATGCCACCCTCAGATAAATTGTGTATTCTTCCTAAGAGAACGATTCCGGTATTTATGAATTCTGTTGAGATATATTTTCGATTTGTTGAAATCGCTGAAATTTTTATTAGTTGAAGCAAGTTAAGTGATGAAATTATGCCACCTTCAGATAAATTGTGTATTCTTCCTAAGAGAACGATTCCGGTATTTATGAATTCTGTTGAGATATATTTTCGATTTGTTGAAATCGGTGTAAGTGCTGAGCAGTTTATATTAGTTGAAGCAAAGTAAATTATGAACTTATGCCACATTCTGATAAATTTTATATTTCTTCCTATTCCGGTATTTATTTAATTATTTTTTTCTTTTTCTTTTTTTTTCTTTAATACGCTGAAAATGCTGGAGCCGCCTAGCGGAAAGAAATATTATAAACAAAATAAGTGATAATCTGAACGTGTCAGTTTTGGAAAATACGCTGCATAATTTCTTATAGTAACTCTGTGAAAGTTTATTACAACGAATTTGCGATTTCTGGAAGAGGATGACAATATAGCATAAACACTTATTGACTCTTTGGCGGACTTCACCAGATTAATTTAACTTTAGATTAGGAAACAAAACTGACGTGGAAAAGGATAAGCAAAAAAAAATCGTTACACATAAAATATGTATTTAACAAGATGTACAATATCAAACAAAACATGCATTTAAGTAAAGAAAGGTTGAATAAAACAAGAGTTGTCTCTCTTTAACTATTATTTTTAGTATTCCAAAGTTCACTGGAAGAATGTTTATGAGAGTTTTTATAATGACTGTTCTCAGAAGATTTTGCTGCGTAAGAAAAGATTATGCGAGTGTATAAGGAATGTTCAGTATGTGAGTGGTGGTGTGAGTGAGAAGGTTGGCGTATGGTTTCAACTGTCGTGGATTCGTTTGGCAGCTGAATTCTCACTAATTAGCTAAGAGAAATTCTTGCGTATAGAAGTGACTATAGGCTCCAGACCGCTGCGCGGGAAAAGTTACTCTTCACGTGCAGACGATCTGATTGGTTGGCATTGACCAATCAGCGAGCGAGTTTTGGGGAGACTTAAGAAAACTTTAGTGATCCGTTTCTCCCAAAATTGCACAAAATTGACTACATGAAAATAGAGCGATTACAAAATTGTCGCATTGCTGCGATTTGTAAATTGTCTATAATAATGTAGTAGTGATTTATTAACTAATGAATGCTTGTCGTATGTGATTTGTATTTGTGTATGTATGTGTGCGATATATAGATCGGCACAACTCCCTTCAGAATGTGCTTTATATTCCGGGTGTCGTTCAAACAGGTTAATTACTCACTATGCGTAAAGACAGCTTGTCCTGCTTCCAACAAATGAAGAAAGAGGGTTTAATGGATTTGACACCCACAGAATATATTGACGGTAAGAAAGGCAAAGGAAAACAGACAGCGAGTCTGACGAGATTGTGCATGTCTAGCGATTTTTCTTTGAATGTAATGAAAATTTTCCTGTTTCTTAATACTTTGCTTAGCGTTTGGAAGACATCTTTTGCTATTGGTTATTCGTTTCTGTCTTCTATTAAAACATATTCCAGATAGATTCCTGTGGATCAGTGGTTGCCATATTTTTTTCTTTGGGTTTCATTTTCGGAATGAAACTTTGCTCGCGCCTCACCAAATTTTATCTAATAAAAAGTATATTTAAAAATGAAAACAAAAAAAAAGCAACGACTAATAGTGCGTTAAATATAATATATAACACAAGAGAAGTCCCGGTGAAAAGGTGCAATATCGAAGCCTATTACGAAAATGGACGTTCAAACAGAAATGCATTTAGCGCAATTCGCGATGTTTTTGGTCGACATAATCGACCAGCCGAGAGTGCAATTGGAAACGATGTAACGTTGTTGTCGAGAGTTTCAGCTTCTGCGCGCGATGACGAATAGAGGTGTCTAGATTTTCGGCCACATTCTCGTGCACTGCAGCAATGTTTTCAGCTGAACGGCGTAAACGAGCACGCAGTGGTGTTTTTAAAACTGCCACCGATCCACTTTCTTTAAATTTACGAACAATTTTTCCAATTGCAATTTTGAAACTTTAATACATTGTTTGATTGTTAACCTTTCCATGGTTGAAATTCCCAAAGACTTAAGTTGTTAAATCTGAAAGAAAAAGAAAAAAAAAATCATTACACGCTTAAACTTAATTCACATTTAAAATCGGTCCAAGTTATACGAACACCTTTTATATTCAAGATGCTGACTTTCCACACTACCTTAAACAAAAGGCTTGGAAGGAAACTCCCATCAATACTAGAAAGAGCGATAACAGTGGACTTGATGAATCTAATTTCCTGAAAAACTGTTACATTAGAAATGTTTTATAGAATTCAATCAACATTAAGGATAACTATTCGGTCAATGAATGCCGAAATGCTCCTGTTTCGAAGTAGTTAATTTTAATATTATCAAGCTAATGACGTACCATCATCATCGAGCCAAACCTGAATTTTCACCTCTCGCAATGAACGGGTGTTAACTCAAAGAGGTCCCAGACTTTGAGCGCCTGCTGGGACTTCAAGTGGAGCTTGTACATACGATCCACTATTAAAGATAATGATCGGTTTTCTGTACAAAACGTATACATAAAGATACAAAAATGAGCTCAGCAGATATACAAAAATAGAAAAAGACGTAAGGCAAGGATGTGTCGTTTCACAGGACTTTTTTTTAAACTATACACCGAGGCAATTCTGAGAGAACTGGAAATCCTACCAGGATTCATCATTGGCAGCCACAGTCATAAAAAAACAAGATACACAGACGACACAATGCCGATAGGAAACTACAAAACCTTATACAGAAGGTAGGGAAGGAGAGCGAGAAGAAGGGACTAAGCACAAACTATAAGAAGACGGAATGCATGGTCATCAGTAAAAAGATGAGCCCGAAATGCGATTTACAGGTCCGGGACACAAAAATCAAGAAGGTACAGAAATTTAAATAACTGGAAAGTGTTCTGAAAGAGGACAGTAAGTGCGACACCGAGATCCGAAGACGTATTGGGATGGCCAAATACGCATTCCAAAAAAATATGCAGAGTATTATGAGACAGGAAGTTTTCGTTGGCAACAAAGAAAAGAGTACTGAACTGCTGCGTGTTATCTGTCCTTCTTTACAGCAGCGAATGTTGTACAATCTCCTTAAAGATGAAGAAGAGACTCTAGGCAACAGAGGTGTAGTTCTACAGAAGGATGCTAAGGATAACATAGACCGAACATGTGAGCAACGATAGAGATTTAGAGAGGACGCAAAGAGGAAACTTACACTTAACACCAGGAAGAGGCAGCTGCAATTACTGGGACACGTAATGAGAAAGGAGTGCTTGGAAAATCTGATACTCACAGGGCGGATAGAGAGAAGGAGGGAACAAGGGAAGCAATGTATGACATACTTAACAGGCTTAAGCAAGTGGATACACAGAACAAGGTATGCGAGAAATGTCAAAAAAGACAAAACATTGAGAGCTACAATGGACAAGAGGAGGTGGAGAGCCATGATCGCCTACATCCTGGAGGGACACGGCACATAAAAGAAAGAAGTACCTGATTCCTCCTGATATGCTCTACCTTTACAAGAGCCAGATCAGGTGGTAAATGGTGTACAGCTGTCATATATGGGGAAGAGCTGTTTAGTTTTCATTTTTCATTCTCGCTAGAGTCCAAAAGGATTTCCGCATCCTTGTGGGTGATGAATTATTTTCTACCCTGCAACTCGTTCCCTACAGACGAAACACTGCAAGCCTCTCTCTGATTTATCGCTATTTCCATTGAATGTGTTCAGATGAACTACATTCCTTAGTTGCACCACTTATAACTTTCACGGTTAAGACCCGTCATGCCAAGCCATTGGTGAGATGTAAGTTCTACTTGAGCAAATTTTTCCCACAAACAGCTGTTTTGTGGAAACGACTTCCAAGAGGATGTT